GTGGAGTCGCAAGCAGGTCTGTTCTAAGGATCATAGGAAATTCCCGGCTCATATTGGCAGTTGCTCGGCTGCTGCGTTCGAGCTCTCACTGGATGTTACTAAGCTTCAGCCAATAGGATGGTTCCCATTGGCTATTGCTCTGCTGTGGCCAGTAGGCGAGCTCTCATTGGTTGTTTTTTGCGGCGACCAATAGGAGGGCTTGAAATGCTCCTATTGGCTGTTGCTTGGCTCCAACCAATAAGGGCGCTAGCAGGGATCTGACTGCCATCCCCACGTGTCGTGCACCCAACGCTTCTCCGACGATCTACCTTCACCGCCTCATGATTGCCCCACGCACACCCCCGGGCCCATCTTCGTGAGCGTTTTTGTGCCCCCCCCCCTCACCATCGAATTACCACCACTCGATCAACTTTCTTCGCCACATCAGGGACTGTTGAGTTTTTCTTTTGTCTTCGAATCTTTGCTGTGTCTAATTTCTCCATATTAACCACTCTATTTCTCTTATTATTCATATTATTTTGTTCTCATCTTTATTATTACATATTTTATTCGCATCCATACTACTACACTGTACTTGTTGTGCAATGCTATCACTGCTGTTCACTCCCGTTTGTCGAGCTTCCCTCACTCAACACGAAACCTCGCCACCTTCGAACTCCTCGTCACTCACCCCGGGTCGGCCGGGTGGCCCTTTTCCCCAACCGACTGACCCCATTCAATCCCCATGAACCCCTTATCTGTATTATTAATTCACTCATTCACTCATTTATATGTGTGTATGTGGTTTTTCAGACACCGTTGGTTATATGTTTATTGATTTATTGATTTTCTCTTTTTATGTATATGCTATGTAAGCAATAATTGGAAAGTGTTTAGTGTTGTCGAGTGCCTTACTATTTTTCACCGCTGTCTCGTGTGGTCTTGAAACTTCCCCTAGTGGTGTCTATAAACGATTTACTTACTTAGCAAGAGAGATGCCAGCTCCACCTATGCAACTCATAGATTCCGCACAAATTCCACCCCCATCCCTCCCCCAGTCCCGACCAAATTATTGATTTTTACCTAGAGAGATTTTTCTTTTTTTAGTTAGTTTCCTTCCATATATTATCCTGTTATGATGAAAGTCTATACTCTCAAAGTGTGTGTCTCTTTCTGTTCTTATATACTCTATATATGTGTGTGTACTATTTGTGTGTTCATCGTTTTTTTTCCAACGAGATTTCACGCGAGCCACTATTCGGCGCGCGCGCATCACGGGCATCTCAGCGTTGTATCGTAGTAGCACCGCCCCCTCCCCCATGCAGTAACCCCACCCAGCCGTCTCATTATTCACGCATGTGGATCGATACCTTATCGATTTCACGCGCGTCTAATGTCGGCACATTTTTTCGTATCTCTCACTCTTTTCATCTTCCTCTCTCTCCTATTCATCATGCACCGATTGTACAGTTTTTCTACTACTACTGTTTCACCTCTTTCTTCATATTATCGTATACAAGTTTGTAGTCGATCGATTAAAGCAGATGTTTTCTTTCGTCGTTGCTCCTATACATTTTCATTTCTAGCGCGCTCTATCCTCCTTTTTTTTCATTTTCCTCCTTTTGTTTTGTGAGAAAAGAACAAAGATACACAACACTCCACTCTAGAGATTGAAAGTAAGCGTGCTCCAGGTTATTCATTTTGGTGTCAGCGTATTGTTTTTACTGTGAAGAAAAATTGATAAATTTTTAATAATCCTTGTGTACGATTATTGACTGATTTGTCGTTTCATGTGCAATACATGTGAAATGTCATCAAGGTACGGTAGGCGATTATTCTTCACCTGTGTATATTTTGAAAATGAGAGTGTGACGTCATGAATTCTCGTGGTGGAGTAAAAGAGGCGAACCACTCACAAGATGCTAGAACAATGGGGTATGTGACAAGACAATTGTAATATGCCGCCGCGCCGGTGGGCGTGGTCAGCGAAGCCGCGCTCGATGGACGACTTATCCCGCCTCGCCATTTGAACTGAGCTTTAGAAGGGACGGGAAAATCTGATATAACCTGTCATGGGTCTTGTTTCATTTGAAATCATATGAGTCCGTCGCTTCGATAGACAAGCTGGTACATATGGAGCTATTGCTGCGCATCGCCGCACGATACGCCGCACGCGACGGAGCGGCAGATTGCGATGTCTTGTCCGTCTTTTTCAGAGCAGAGAGCAGTGCAGTGAGAACGCGAGGCTTTTTTTATGGTTGTAGCTTAGGAATGATTGAAAAGAAGAGGTGGATAGGTAAGAGTGACAATTGCCAAAAGGGATTACTCTTTAAAGACTGGTCATAACTTCTTCTTCAGGCCTCATGGCCAAGAGGTCCATTTCGTCGTTGGGAGAGCTCTAGTTTTATAGAATGGGTTTCTTAAATGGCCCTTTAGATTACTAGAGCCGTAGTGGGTAACCTGGAAAGCTTTGAGTTCCAGTGCAAGGTTTAACCCCCATTTTCGCTGTACCTTCCCGATAGAATCATGCGGTAGAGTGGCCAGAAATCCAAATAACGGGGAACAGAGCTCTCAAGTTAACTGCAGCATGGGTGAAGTGCTCGATAAAGTGTTTGTTCAGTGATATTGAAGAGCGAAAGGGTTGTAAACGGTGTGTTAAGTTGTTTGTGCAGGGTTAAGGTAGTGGACATGCAGGGTACTGCGAAACCGGGGGAGCGATGTCACGAACGTTGCCGTCTGCTTGGGTTCAGAAGACCCGCCCGCGCTCGTGGAAAGTGGAGTTAGCATATTTGATTGGTGAGACGTGATAAAGCAGCATCTTATGAGTTCTTTCTCGCTTTTTCCCAGAAACCTCTGATATTCAAAAGTGTCCATTATCCCTTCTGGTCTCTAACAATCTGTGGGCGACCTTCCTCAAAGTTTTTATGCTTGTCACTTCGTCAGCGCCGGAGTTCATATTTCGCACTTCATCGTACCATTGTGGCTGGACGGATACTTGTCAGGTTAACCCCGTTTGGACGGTAAGCGATGGACTTGACACCTGCAACTAATTTGGCGTTGTTATCGACGAGGGGGGCATTCTGCTTTTCATAGATTTGCCAACCCATCTAGGTACCCTTTTTTCGAGTTGACACGTTTTAGGATGGTGGCTAGACGATCTTGCTCCAGCTTCACAAGCGTTCACAAGTTTTACCAGAGTGAGATTTGTAAACCGGAACCAGGGAAGCAATTATATACAAAATGCCCCCCCCCCGCCGATAAAACAGCCTCGCACGAATCTTTTTTAGAAAGCCAATATTCGGGAAATTTTAAACAAGTTGAATGAAGTGGGTTAATTTCTAAGGAAGAGAACTAAGCACTAGCTTTATTGTTTTGTAACTGATCTTATAGTCATGGACCTTGCAAACGATGGGGCGTGTAAATGGTATGGATTGGAACGCAGCCATGACGGCTTTTCCCGCCAATATTGCTGACTCAGGATGGTATCATTGGTGAAAAAACTGCCTTGATGCGCTCCTGTCCACGCTCATTCACACGCCACATCATTTCAGGGGAACATGGCTGTAACCTACTCGAAGTCATTTCCAGTTCAGATAGTACCTTTGATGGGTTTTAGATGAACGAATTGAAGAGCTGATGCGAGTTTTCATGCTTTGAACGACGATAACTTCTTCCGTACTTGATTGTTTGCGGAACTGAAAATCGTCGTTTAAAGGTAGGATGTCCCCCCTTTCCAAAACACATTACTCTTCTCGGTAGACTTGTTAGATCGAGGGATATTTTGAATGGATTTTCGCTGGGTAAAGTTCCGAGCTTTTCATAACACATAATTCCTTTTTTCACTCTGTGACAAGACTTGTATCGAAACCTCACTATCCCTCCAGAACGCATCTTCTCGTTGAACTGAGTAAGCTTATCATAGACTGATCTCCTCTATAGGGCGCCATTTTATCCCTACGGTGTAAACGGGAACCAGCACAGCCACCAGCTCTACCGAAACTC